ATCAAGCAGAACAGGCAGGACGCCCGTGAGAGAAGGCGCAAACGCCGCGCTCCATGGGAGTTTTCGTTCGGCCATCCCGTGGCCAGAATAGCCTGTCCCTTTCTGTTGCCCCTGGGCCTTTCCAGGCCCCGAGTGGCCCATGCAAAGTCGCAGTCGACAGCACGACCGCGACCAAGCGTCCATGGCAGCGTCCGGTGCCGCCTCTTTCCTCCCTCCTCCTTTTTCTCTTTTCCCACCCCTTTTGCCTTTTCCTGCTGCTGCTGCTGCTCGTCCTCCCGTCTTCCTTATCCTGTTTCTGTTGCTTCTGCTGCCGCTGTCGCTGCATCTGCTCCTCCTCTTCTCCCTCCTCCTCTTCATCCTCCGCGTCGTCCTCGTCCTCCTCCTCCTCCTCTTCCTCCACCTCCTCCTCCTCCTCCTCATCCTCCTTTTCCTCCTCCTTCTCCTCTTCCTCCTCCGCGTCCCCCATCCTCCTCCTCCTCCTCCTCCTCCGCGTCCCCCCCTCCTCCTCCTCCTTCTCCTCCTCCTCTCCTCCTCCTCCTCCTCCTCCTCCTCTTCCTCCCCTCCTCCTCCTCCTCCCCTCCTCTCCTCTCCTCCTCCTCTTCCCCACCTTCTCCTCCTCTCTGCCTCCTCCTCCTCCTCTTCTCCTCCACCCCTCCTCCCCTCCTCCTCTCCTCCCCCATCCTCCTCCTCCTCCTCCTCCTCCTCCTCCTCCTCCTCCTCCTCCTCCTCCCCCTCCTCCTCCTCCTCCTCCCCTTCCTCCTCCTCTTCCTCCTCCTCCTGTCCATAGTTACTCGCGCGAAGTTTTCTGGGTTCTTCCTGGCTGTGGCCCTGCTTGGCCAGATCGTGCAGTTGATGCAGTTCAATGTGCAGAAGTCCACGATCTTCAACAGCCTGAGGCACCAGCGGGCAGGGAGGGATAGCGCAACGTACGAGGACGAGTGGGAGGAGGAGGACGACGACGACAATGAAGACGAAGACGACGAGGACGAGGAGAACCAGGAAGGCAAAGAGAAGGGGGGGGGAGGAGGCGGAGGAGGAGGAGGGGGAGAAAGAGGAGGAGGACAAGCAGCAGGACGAGAATGATACTGAGAAGGTTTTCGTAGGGTGCTCCTCGGTGCAAGGCGTTCGCGGGGCGCCAGAGGTGCCTGGAAGTTTCTGGACGGGGAGGAGAGGGCGCGGATGATGATGATGATGATGATGATGATGATGATGATGATGATGATGATGATGATGATGATGATGATGATGATGATGATGATGATGATGATGATGATGGTGATGGTGATGGTGATGTGATGGTGATGATGGTGATGATGATGATGATGATGATGATGATGATGATGATGATGATGATGATGATGATGATGATGATGATGATGATGATGTTGATGCTGATGCTGATGCTGATGCTGATGCTGATGATAATGATGATGCTGATGCTGATGATGCTGATGCTGATGCTGATGATAATGATGATGCTGATGCTGATGATGCTGATGCTGATGCTGATGCTGATGATGATGAATGATGATGCTGATGCTGATGCTGATGCTGATGCTGATACTGATGCTGATGATGATGATGATGATGACGATGATGATGATGATGATGATGATGATGATGACGGGGAGGAGGAGGACGAGGAGGAAGGGGAGGAGGAGGAGGAGGAGTAGGAGGAGGAGGAGAAGGAGGACGAGAAGAGGGGGAGGAGGAGGGAACGGAGGAGAAGGAGGAGGAGTAGGAGGAGGACGGAAAGAGGAGGAACTTAATAATGATGATGGTGATGACGACGGTGATGATGATGATGATGATGATGATGATGATGATGATGATGATGATGATGATGATGATGGTTTTGATGATGATGATCATGATGATCACAATGATGATGGATGATGACGATGACGATGATGATGATGATGATGATGATGATGATGATGATGATGATGATGATGATGATGATGATGATGATGATGATGGTGGTGGTGGTGGTGGTGGTGGTGGTGATTATGATGGTGATGGTGGTGGTGGTGGTGATGGTGGTGGTGGTGGTGGTGATGGTGATGATGATGATGATGATGATGATGATGATGATGATGATGATGCTGAGGAGGAGGAGGAGGAGGAGGAGGAAGAAGAGGGAGAGGAATAGAAGAGGAAGATAATTTACTTACTCCGACGGTAGGACACCGCATGAAAATCTGCTTGGGTAATCTGGACATAACCCTCACCGTCGTCTTCGCGATTAGTGAGGTGTGCCCTTACTGTCTCTTCTGCGTCATTCTCCTTCTCGCCATGGCGCAGGCCCTCCTCCCGCTTCCTACGCTGCCCCCCTCTTCGCCCTCCTGTTTTTTTTCACCCCCCGCCACCTCCTCCCTTTTCTATTGCATGAACGCGCGTGTCGATTTCCATCGGCGCCGTCACCGCCTAGGCCAGCACGGGCGCATTCTCTAGTCTCTAATGGCTATGTCGCGCAGCCGCTGTGGCAACCCCGCGGGCCAGGCCGTCGGGGCAACCCTGCGCGCCGCCGGCGCGCGAGACCAAGCCGTTGGGACAACCCCGCGGGCTTCGAGCGGGGCGCCGCCGCGCTCAGGCGGGAGGCAGCACGAAGACCAGCTCTGTCGCAAACTGCTCCGCCTGTGCCCTGGAGATTTCCGCTTGCTTGTCGAACACCAGGAGCGCCTTCCGCAAGGACGCCGGCGGCCCTCGCTCGAGGAACCCCTCGCGGCGGCGGCCGCAGGATCAGCATGCTTTGCGTGCACGTGGCGCGGGAGAACATGACGTACAAATGCAGCCACCACTGGTCGTCCGACATGCCCGTGCGGCCAGCGTCCTCGTCCCTCGCGCAGTCGATGGTGATGCCCTTCGGCAGCGTCTGGCCCTGCGACAGCGCGGAGGTGAAGTAGGACGCGCGCGTCATGGTGAACTCCGAGCGGCGCACGGCGTGCGGCCCCGAGCTCTGCCACGTGAGGTCCTGCTCGCTGGGCCTGAACATAAGCAAGCTCCGCGCACGCGCCTCGGCCTGGCCGTTGTCGTCGGCGCCTTCGGCGCTCAGTCGCAGCAGCTCGGCGACGCCGTGGATGTCCCCCGTCTTGTGCACGTTCGGGACGTTCAGGAGGCGCCGACCCGCGTCGGGATCGCCCTGAATCGTGCAGCACTCATCCACGGCCTGCGAGCAAACGAGGGGCACGTCCAGAGGCCGTGCGTCGCGACGAACGCGCGCGTTGATCCACCTCGCCAGCTTCTCCCAGTAGGCGCCCATGCCGTAGCCGAGTCGAAAGTTCTCGTGCTGGTGCCGAGGTTCCAGTACGCCGTGGTTGTCCGAGGCAAACGTCGTTTCCCAAGAGGACCAGGTCTCTGGTGGGAAGGGATTGTTCTCGCGCGTGCAGCCCAGGAGCGCGATGAGAGGCTCCCCGGCCTCAAAGCGCTTCGTGCCTTCCAACTCGAGAAGGACGCGATGGCGTGCCGAATCTACACCGTCGGCGGCCCCGCGTGCTTGTGCGATCCGTCGTCCAGGAATTCGTTCACGTCCATCAGGAGGCCGATGCTGCCGGTGGGATTCAGCTGCAGGGAATCGCCGAGGTGCAACACGATGGGGACGCGCCCGAAGCGGTGGCGCGGCCGCTTGTAGGTGGACTTTTGCACGTCGTGCGCATCACTGCGTCCGTGGCACGCGCGAAGGTCCATCGCGTTGTCCAGCGCGGCTGTTACCATGGTTATACCATCGATGGCAAGAGCGCGGATGTGATCCCACAAACACTTCAACCTCTTCCGCATGCCCCCCAGTTCCAGCCTCGCGTTGCTGTGTTTTTGGACCTCGCATGGCACAGGCATTGTGCAGCGCTCTGGCCTTGACAGTCTCCGAGGAGATGTTCTTTGCTTGCTCGCTCGAGAAGGCAATGACCAACATGCTGGCCTTGTCCAGCGCCAGCGAGGGCCACAAATGCTCTACGTCTGGGCCGCCGATGGGTTACCACGGGCGGCCCGAACACATGGGTTTCCCCCTGCGCCCACTTCGGCCCCGGATGGGTTACCACCCGCGGCCCGGATACGAGGGTTTCCCGCTGTGCCCGGCCGCCGTCGTTTTCCTGAATGTTTGTTTCCCCCGTGTTCCATCATCTGGTGGGTCGAGCGAGCGGCCCTGTAGGAAGCTAAGCAGAGACCCCGCTCGGATTGGTCCGCGAGGGCTCGCATCGCCTTTCCTTCTGGGAGCGGGGGGGGAGCCTTTGCAGGTTCGTTTTCCCGCGGTTAGTGCGGGAGCCTTTGCAGGTTCCCCCTTCCAGCAAAACGAAACCAGGTGAGGGAACCTTTTGCCGGTTCCCTTTTCCCGTGACTAGAACAGGAACGTTTCCAGGTTTTTTCCAGGCGAACGAAAGCGGGAGAGGGAGCCTTTGCAGGTTCCCCCTCCTGCGGCCAGAGCGGGAGCCTTAGCAGGCTCCCTCTCCAGCCGAAAGAAGGAAGGAGAGAGAGCCTTTGCAGGTTTCTTCTCCCGCGACTAGAGCGGAAGCCTTATTTTCAGGTTTTTTCTCCAAGCGGGAGAGGGAGCCTTTTGGTGGTTCCCTCGGTTCCTTCTCCCGCGGCTAGTGCGGGAGCCTTTTTCAGGCTCCCCCACCAACCAACCAGTACGACAACCAACAAGACGACATCGGAGGTTTCGGGAACGAAGAAAGAGGAAGGAAGCAAGGAGGATCCAACGAATCTCGCCGGATGCTCGCACCAGTCTGCACCGACTGTTATTCGCACGAAGCCCCCAATCGAGAGCTGCCGGCTGAGTTTTCTGCCAACATGTTCAAGCTTGATAAGACCCAAAGTCACGGCAATTACAGGATCCCGATGACCCGCTCGGATTAGTAACGTGAGCTGCGGGGCCCACACGGGTGGAGCTTCCGCCTGAGATTTCTTCGCAAGTCACTCGCAGACGAGGCTCCAGTTTGAGAATTCCCCCATACTCTGGTTTGATGAGGCTAAAAGATGAACCGTTCGGATTAGTAACGTAAGCTGCGGGTCCCAGAGGGAGGGGGCTCCCGCCTGAGATTTCCTCGTAATTCACTCACAGACGAGACTCCCGCCTGAGACTCCCCTTATTTTCAAGCTTCAGGAGCCCAAAAGAGAGGACAGTTACAGGATCCCGATAACCCGTTCGGATCAATAACATGAGCTGCGGACCCCATAGGAAGATAGAAGGACCCAGTGGCGGTGCCCGCATGCACCACACCCACCCAGTGCAGCGCTCCTTGGCCCCATAGGGAGCTCCACCGAACGCCCCAGTGGCGGTGTTCGCATGCGATTTCCCTATCCAGTGCAGCGCGTCGGGGGCCAAAAGGGAGCTCCACCGAAGGCCCCGGTGGCTGTGTCCGCACGATTCCCCCACCCAGAGCAGCGTGTCGTGGCCCTACAGGGAGCTCCAAAGAAGGCCCGAGTGGCGGTGACCGCATGCGTTTCCCCCACCCAGTTCAGCGTTCCGTGGCCCCACAGGGAGCTCCACCGAAGGCACCAGTGGCGGTGCCCGCATGCCGTTCCCCCACCCAGCGCAGCGTTCCCTGGCCCCATAGGGAGCTCCACCGAACGCCCCAGTGGCGGTGTTCGCATGCGTTCCCCCCACCCCGTGCAGCGCTTCGCGGCCCTATAGGGAGCTCAACCTAAGGTCCCAGTGGCTGTGCCCGCAGCGTTTCCCCCACCCAGTGCAGCGCGTCGTGGCCCTACAGGGACCTCCACCGAAGACCCCAGTGGCTGTGTCCGCGCGCCTTTCCCCCACCCAGTACAGCGCTTCGTGGCACCATAGGGAGCTCCACCAAAAGCCCGGGGTGTGTCCGCATGCGCTCCCCCCACCCAGTGCAGCGCTGCGTGGCTTCACAGGGAGCCCCACCGAAGGCACCAGTGGCGGTGTCCGCATGCCTTTCTCTCACATGCTACACCGTGTCGTTTCCCCACAGGGGGCTCCACCGAAAGGCCAGAGTGGCGGTCTTCGCATGCGCCCCCCCCCCCCCCAGTACAGCTTTTCGTGGCTCCATCTGGAGCTCCACCGAAGGCCCCAGTGGCGGTGTTCGCATGCGTCCCCCATCCCACCCAGTGCAGCGCTTCGGGGCCCCATAGGCAGCCTCACTGAAGGCCCCAGTGGCGATGTTCGCATGCGTCCCCCCCCCCCCCCACCCACCCACCACAGCGCTTCGTAGCCCCACAGGGAGCTCCACCGAAGGCCCCAGTGGCATGGTTCGTATGGCGGCCCCGTTTCATTTTGGCACACCCCTCAAAAAACGTTTCGTGGCCCCACATGGAGCGCCACCGAAGGCTCCAATGGCTGCGCCCGCATGCGTCCCCGTCCGAGTTTGGCACACCCTTCACACGCGTCGTGGCCCCACAAATAAATCCACCGAAGGCGATACCCACAATGGCGATACTCACAACTGCACATGGTTGGGCCCTTCGCCAGAACACTTTTCAAAACGATGATGTCCCTTGAATTACAGCAAGGACCATGGGGCGCTCGTCTTTCAAGGGAGCGCATCCCGTAGTGAACAGGAATTCCTGCAGGAGTTCCTTGGGGCGCGCGGGCTTATTGCAGCATCGTTGACGCATCTTGGGTTTACTCTGGTCCTCCTCCTCCTCCTCCTCCATCCCCTCTCATCCCCATCCTCCCCCTTCTCCTCCTCCTCCTCGCCCTTCTCCCCCTCACTCTCCTCCTTCTAGTTTTCCTCCTTTCTTCACTCCTTCTTCCTTCCTCTTGCCGCCTGCTTCTTTCTTCCCAGCTGCGTCACGCGCCCCAGGCGCACCTACACGATGGCCGCGGAGGACTTCGGGCCGCTGCTGTCGGCCGACGAGGGTCCCCAGCGTCATGCGTCGTCGGGGGATGGGGAAGCGGAAGAAGATGAGAAGGAGGATGAAGATGCATTTCTAGCTTTCTCAGTCCTCATCTTTTCAAATTTCCTTCTTCCCTCCCTCCTCTGTCTCATCTCATCCCATCCCCCTTTCCCAGTAGTATCCTCTTTCTCATATTTTGTCCCTTCCTCTGTCTCCCTCCTCCACCTCCCCTCCTCCATCGCCCCCCCCCCTCAGGAGAGGGGAGATGTGAAGGAGGGAGACGGACGGGGAGGAGGAAGAGGAGGAGGAGGAAGAGGAGGAGGGAGAGGGGGAGGTGGAGGAGAAGGAGAGGGCGTGGGAGGAGCAGTGAGTACCATCAATTGCAGCGAACACGCCACCGATGCTGCAATACGCACTCCCGTTCCGAGTCCGCTCGCTTGCGGCGGGTCACATCCGAACCCTTTTTTGCGTGGGAAGGTGACGCCTTGGAAGCCGACAGGTTATGCAAACATAATGTTTGTGAAGTGTTTTGGTTGATCAGTCCTGGAGGTGCCGTCTTGGGGCGGCCCTGGGGCTATGTTCGGGCCTTCGTGGGGCAGATTGAGCCCCCCCCCTTGGCGCCATCGTTGCTCATCTTGGGAAGCGCGTTGGTCGCATTGGGACTTCACTTGGCCGCCAGGCGTCTCTGAATGCCATCTTGCGGGTTGATCGGGGCTGCGTTTTTGTTTCGGAAGGTACAGGAGAAGGGGAGGGAGCATGAGTGGGATGAGGACCAGGGTAGTGCACAGATGTCTCAGCGGTGCTAACTTACACCTTCCCGTCCAAAGGTCCTCCATACGTCACTGCAAGCACAATCTGTCTCTGTGTGAAGCGCCACTTTGGACGACGACCGCGACTTGAGCCCACAATTCAGATGGGATCACAGTTTTGAAAGGAATTGGTCTCCAGCATCCGAGCTATACGGAATGCGACAAGGTGGGACTATAAAGTTCGAGGAGGCCTCAGGCGAGAGCCCCAGTCTGAAAAGAAGCAGCCCTCCGTCCGTGAAATGGTTGAGCAGATTTGGATATCTGGCCATACTCCCCACACTAGAGCAGTTTAAAACAGGACCGCCGCCCATCCGTGTAGCGGTTGCATGTTTATGCACGTGGCAATGTGTTGCAAGGGCTTGCAGGCGAGGAGTTTCTTTCCATCAGTCTAGGTGTGTGAGGCCGGTGAGACGGGTTTGCGCGGCGCCAAAGCGAGAGCCCCCTCTCCTCCCCCCAAAAAGCGCCCGTTCTCTCTCTCTCTCTCTGTCCGTGCGACTTATGGATTTGTTTAAGACGAAAGCGCGCGGCGCCAATGCCTCCGATAGCCTACCCCCGCCTCCCATCGACCCAGAAGATTCTATGGTTGGTGGGGGCAAGGGTTCGGATGTCGCCACGTGTTGTTAAGGCGAGCGTGCGCGGCGACAAGGCGAGAGTTCCATGTTCAAAACAAGCCGCCCTCCACCCGCGCGGTTGTGAGAGAGTCCGAGTTTCCAGGTCTCAGACGGTGGAGAAGTCTCGGGCGAATCGCACGCCCTGCCCGGACGACGCGCCTGGTGGTGCGACAGGGGGGGGCATGTTGAAGGAGGAGGGATGGAGGAGGAGGAGGAGGAGGAGGAGGAGGAGGAGGAGGAGGAGGAGGAGGGGGAGGGGACACGGCAGGTCAGCGCGTGCTCGACCTCTCTGCCCAGCTCGACCAGCAGCTCCGTGACTTCCGGCGCGCCATCGACGAGCGCAGGGTCGATGAGGCCCGTTCGCGCTCCGAGGGATGGAAGGGGACGGCTAGGAGGAGGATGAGGAGGAGGAGGAAGGGTGAAAGGGGTGATGATAAGAATGGTGATGATGAGGAGGGTGAGGATGATGATGATGAAGAGGGTCAGGACCAGGATCAGGATCGGGATCAGGATGCAGTTGCTGATGATGGCGATGATGATGCTGCTGATGATGATGCTGATGAAGAAGATCATGATCATGATCATGATCATGATGATAGTGATAGTGATGGTGATAGTGATAGTGGTAGTGGTAGTGATAGTGATAGCGATGATGCTGATGCTGCTGATGCTGATGACGATGATGCTGATGATGATGCTGATGATGATGGTGATGGTGATGGTGATGGTGATGGTGATGCTGCTGATGTTGATGACGATGACGACGACGATGACGACGACGATGAAAATGATGGGTGATGGTGATGGTGATGATGATGGTGATGATTGTGATGGTAATGGTGATGAGGATGAGGATGAGGATGAGGAGGATGATGCTTATGTTGATGCTGACGATGACGACGACGACGACGACGATGATGATGATGATGCTGATGATGTTGACGATGCTGATGCTGAGGACGGTGATGATGCTGATGATGATGCTGCTGATGTTGCTGCTGATGATGAGAATGGTGGTGATGGTGATGGTGATGATAATGATGCTGTTGATGTAGATGATGATGATGATGCTGATGATGCTGATTATACGGATGATTATTTATATTGTAGTTGTTGTTGTTGTTGTTGTTGTTGTTGTTGTTGTTGTTGTTGTTGCTGTTGTTGTTGTTGTTGTTGTTGTTGTTGTTGTTGTTGTTGTTGTTGTGAGCGTCATGATCTTTATGATGATGATGATACTGAAGATGATGACTATTATGATGATGATGGTGGTGCTGATGCTGATGCTGATGCTGGTGATGATGCTGATCTGATGTTAATGCTGATGCTGATGCTGATGCTGTTGTTGCTGATGATGACGGTGGCGATATGATGATGATGATGAGGAGGAGGAGGAGCAGAAGGAGGAGGATGATGATGATGATGATGGTGGTGGTGGTGATGATGATGGTGATGACGATGAAATGGGAAGAATAGCGTGCGAGGACGCGGAGGAGGAGGAGGAGGAGGAGGAGGAGGAGGAGGAGGAGGAGGAGGAGGAGGAGGAGGAGGAGGAGGAGGAGGAGGGGGAGGAGGAGGAGGGGGAGGAGGAGGAGGAGGAGGAGGAGGAGGAGGAGGAGGAGGAGGAGGAGGAAGAGGAGGACCACTGACCAAACAGCTAGGGCTACAAGCGTGCCAGCTTTGAACAGCCCCTGGGCGGAAGAGGGATTGCTGAAGGGGAACACCCGTTACCTGTGGAATCCCCAACTCGCAGCCTGTTACTGTCGGTTGCCAACGAGGGCGAACCCTGGCTGACAACCGGCGATAGGGCTGCGCGGTACCCGCGCCCTGCGCACGGCTGTGCCTGTTGGGGGCCGAGGTGGAGAGGAGGCCCCACGCCTGCGGCGGCCGCCCCTGCCGAGGGTCGGCCAGGGCGCCCCCATGCGACGCTGCCTGCGGCCGGCCGAGGGAGCTCGCGAGGGGGAAGCCATCTCCGAGGGCCTCGGGCTCCCGGCGCTGCGCCGGGCTGGGCGGCCGAGCGCCCCTCCCCCGCCCCGCGAGCGCCCCAAAAGGCTCCCCGGGGAACCCGCCGCGGGGCCCCCTGGGGCCCCCGGGGCCGACCTCCAGACAACCAGCGGGGGCCAGGGGGGGGCTAGGACGGAGCGCCGGGCCAGGTGGGGAAACGCAGCCTCGTTTCCCCACCTGTTTCCGCCCCCTTGGCGGGCCGCCGCTGGGCCTCAAATCCGCCTCAGGGAAGGCTGGGCACCCCCGCGGGACGTCACCCTCTCTGGACGCCCGAGGAGCTTCAGGGGACCGCCGCAGGGCGCCGAGACCACCTGGGGAAACGCAACTGCGTTTCCCCTCGTGTTGCGGCCCCTGGGCAAAGGCCCGATGAGGCCAGGGCGAGCCGACAGGGCCTGGCACCGCCCCCAGGAGACGCCCGAGGCTGCTGGGAATGACCCACGCAGCCAAAGCCAAGCGGGGAAGCACGGGAGCCCTTCCCCACGTGGTGTTGGCTTCTGGCCAAGAGGCCCCCTTGCGCAAGTGTAGCGGCGCCACGCCGAACCGTCAAGGCCAGTATCGGGGCGGTTATTACCCTTGCCTCGTCCGTGCCCCGAGCGCCACCTTGAGTTTAAGAGTGGACCGCCCACTGCCCTCCCGGACTCCCTCTCTCCTCCTCCGCACCCTCCCCCATCCCCCTTCTCACCCTTCCCCCCCCTACCCATGCGATAGTAGACCGTAGCCGCGTGTGACCGTAGGGCGGCCCCCCGTGGTGCCTTGCGGACCCAAGGTCGGGTGCTGCCCTCGAAGGACATGTGATGAAAAAGTCCTGGGGTTTGGTCTTGGGGGGCCCTGTCTCCTGTTCCTGGGATGTGGTCCTGCGATCGGGGCCTGGGATAGAGCCATAGCAGCAGCAGGGGGTACCAGCAGGGAAGTGCACCTGTTGACCGAAAATGGCCCAAATGATGTCCCGGCAAATTCTGGAAATTGTCCGAGGCATTTGTTGTTGTATTTGTTTCTGCAGATATTCTGGCTTCCTTTACAAGTACATGAGGAGGAGGAGGAGAAGGAGAAAGAGGAGGAGCAAGAGGAGGAGCAGGAGGATAAGCAGGGATGATGACAAGAGAGAGAGAGAGAGAGAAAAAAAAAAAAAAAGGGGAGGAGACAGGAGGCATGAGACAGCTGACAGGGGAAGGGATGATGGTGATGATGGTGGTGATGATGATGATGGTGATGGTGATGGTGATGGTGTTGGTGTTGGTGATGGTGATGGTGATGGTGGTGATGATGATGATGCTGATGGTGATGAGGAGGAGGAGGAAGATGATGATGACCAGGAGGACAAGAGTCAGGAGGGCTGATGATGATGCGGTTGATGAAGATGACGATGATGATGATGCTGATGATGATGATGATGATGGTGATGATGATGATGATGAAGCTGATCGTGATTGTGATGATGAGGATGATGATGCTGATGGGGAAGGCGGTGATGGTGAGGATGGTAAGGATGATGATGATGATTGGGGATGGTGGCGATGATGATTAGTATCATCATAGGTATTGATGATGGTGATGGTGGTGATGATGATCATGATTATGATGATGAGTATGATGATGATGGTGATGATGATGACGATGATAATGATGATAATGATGATGCTGATCACGAGGAAGATGGTGGTGATGATGATAGTGATACTGATAGTGTTGATGGTGATGACAATGATGATGATGATGATGATGATGATGATGATGATGATGATGATGATGATGATGATGATGATGATGATGATGATGATGATGGTGATGGTGATGGTGATGGTGATGGTGATGGTGATGGTGATGGTGATGGTGGTGATGATGATGATGATGATGTGGATGCTGATGCTGATGTTGATAATCCACAAGATGATAGTGATTGTGTTGATGATCGTGATGGTGATGGTGTTGATGATGGTAGTGGTGATGATGATGATTATGATGATGACGAGGAGAAGACAACAGGAGGAGGAGGAGGAGGAGGAGGAGGAAACGTATGGATATTGGATGTGCTAGGGGGTCCTCGGGCCACCATCGGGCAACTTGGGACGGGGGGGTATACGGGACTGTTATGCCCGCCTACTCTTTACCTTCACTTTTCCTCCAACCTCCTGGTTCTCCCCCCCCTATCGCTACTCTTTCCTCCTCCCTCCCAGATGTTTTCCAATTTCTCTCCACTTCCCCTTCTCCTAATCGTCCTCCTCGTCCTCCTCATTCTGCTTCGCCTCCTCCTCCTCCTAATCCTCCTATTTTCCTTCCCCCCCACTTCTCAGGCACATGCGGCTCGAGGGCTTCCGTTGTGGTTTTGGCTCCATCGGGTAGGCCCTCAGCTGTGCTTCGATGCCTCACCGTGGCGCTTGAGTGGCCCCCGCCGCCCAGGCCAGCGAGCCTAGGTCGTCGGGCTGGCGAAACCGAGGAGAATCCGGAGGACCTCTCGTGCGCGGTGCGTGTGGGGAGGTGGGGCACTGGCAGCAGGGAGTTTGCACCGAATCCCGACCTCATCGTCTGCTGTGCTGGTTTTGGCACACGCGGGCAGCGCGATCCGATTTGGATTGCTCAGCCGTTGCCGAACGCGATGTGGGAACATAAGCTTGAGTCGATTGTCATAAGCTACAATGCTCGGATCAGCAAATGCGGGAAGGGCGGACAGAAGCAGCGGAAAATCGCTGCTGGGTGAGATTGCAAGACGCCGCGCGAGCCGCCCCCCATCCGCTACAAAGCTTGGACCAGAACGTGCGAAAAGGGCGAACGGTGGCAGCAGGCAGGTGTTTGGCTGGAGCAACACGCGGCCTCCTCGGTATGCTGTCACCTGTCATGCCGTAGTGGGCTAGCGTGCCAGCTTGGGCTTACATCGTATTGTCTCCGCGGCCCGTCGGCGCGTTCTCGGGAACAGTGTCGCATTGGGCCAGCCGTGTGCTTGTGTCGTCCGGGTCATACTTTCCCCGCTCATCGTGCAGAGTGTCTCGATGAACAACGGTTTCGGCTTATCCACGCTTGTGTTGTACACCAGGGGCGGAGGTATCATTTTTCCCACGCGCTGGAGACGCATTCCACGTGCGGAAAGGTGCCGAGGAACATGAGGTGCGTCCAATAAGGTGAAGGGCTTTTCCTAAGTCTTATGTCGATGCTGCTCCCGAGTGGTGGGCCGTGAACTGTTCACACTTTCTGTTGCTTGGTGGTGGCTTTCATGCGTCCGTTGGGCTGATTGCAGTATTCTTTGGTCGGGCCATGATGTTTCACATTCGCTTTGTTCTGGAAGGTTGTGTCTGCAAGTCATGGTGTTTTGCGGAGTTTTCCTCCCAGTGCGTATGCGTGCCCACCCATGTCCTTCACACCCTTCTCCGTCCCGCCCCCCCACCCCGCCTCTCTCTCTATCGGTCTCTCTCTCTCTCTCTGCCTTTCTCTGTCTCTCGTTATTTCTCTCTCTCTCTCTCTTGTTCTCCTTCCCTCTCTCTCTCTCTCTCCCGTTTTCTCTCTCTCTCTCTCTATCTCTCTCTCTCACTCTCTCTCCCTCTCTCTCATTAATATGTCATTACTATAGGTGTTTGTTCTCTCTCTCTCTCTTTCTCTACGTACGCATGTACATATATTATGCTTATGCCTGTTCTCTCCCTATAGATGGACGCATTTCTCTCTCTCTCTCTCTCTATGTATATATGTATAAGTACATATGTATACATACACGCACATCTAGTCAATCATATCCGCTATTCGTTGTTTATTTATCTCCCTGTCTCCTTTACTGCCACTCTCACACACCATCATCCACCTTCCTCCCCCCCACCCACATCCCCAACCCCCCCAAACAATTTCTCTAATACTGGATTCCCGTCCGCACCCCCCTTATTTTACCCTTCTCCGCCCCCTTTCCTCTTCATCTTCTGACGCATATTCGTCCTCACGCCCGTTCCGTTTCAGATACCGTCGCGTATTGTTGAGCAAAGTCGCTCGTGTGTTTTTGCATGATCGTTTTGGTGAAGCGGCCATCATTCTACGCCCGATTGCAAGCCAGTGAATGACGCTGAAAAGTTGCGCCGTGTTGTTCCTCGCCTTTGCCCTTACCTCAGTTCCACAACTTGTTCACTCTGTCCCTGGCCTCGGCTTTGCAGTCGCGGCCATCGCCTTAGCCCCAGCCTCTGCCTTAGCCGCAGCCATAGCTTCTGGGTGTTCGTTTGGCGTGTCGCTTCGTTTCGAGTATTTGTTTCAAGAGTTCATTCCGTTTTTGTTCGACTTGGTCGTTGAATGGTGGCCTCCTTTCGTTGTTCGTACTCGTCGTGCACAGGTTGTGTGTTAAACGTGTTGTGTTACACGTGGGGGGTCTTTTTCGGTTTAACGCAACTTCGTGTGAAACAACGGTTGGCTCGGTGTCCACACCATTGTGGCGTTGGTAAGCCAAGTGCGACACATTCCATAACGCAGAATACGTGTACACAGAGTTTGAGGCACAAGAATGCGAACAGCGCGTGCCACCAAACGGCTTGCTACCCAAACTAAGATCCGACGAAGCACCGATATCGATCTGTCACTTACACGTGCAGCAGACAGCCGAAATCCTGCATTCGCAGGCGCCACGGTTTTGGAGCGTGCGCTGTAGCATGCCACGAAGGATTGAATGTAGTTTTCACGAACACGTTGTGTTGGAGGCTTGCCCATCCCGCACGAGATTGGCTGTGGGCAAAAAGTACATGTCAGAAATCATGGTGGGTCAGTGTGGATCCAAAAGAACCTCGCTCGCGTGCGCCCACCGTCTCTCTCCTCCCTTGCCACGGAGCCTTACTTGGACAAGCTTTCTTACTCGACGTGACCTCATCGCAGCTCGCCGTACAACTCACCACTCGACCCTTGCGGTTGTCTGTCAAACTCATGTATTTTTTCGTGGAGCGATTCGACATCACCGCGCGTTACCGACAGACACGCGTGATGTTGTTGTTCTGTTTCGCATGGGAGGGGTTCAGTCGAAGCAGTTTGAGTCGACTGGGCGTGCCTGGAACGACGCGTATCATCATTCATGGAGGTCTGTGAGGTGAAGCAGAAAGGCTCCACGTTTTAGGACAGGGGGAGGGGGGGAAGGGAAAAGGGAAAACAGGAGCAGGAGAAGGAAGCGGAGAGGGAGGCGGAGGAGGAGGAGGAGGAGGAGGAGGAGGATCAGAGGAGGGTAGGAGGAGGTGTTTCCCAAGAAATGGAGGAGGATTAAGGAGTAGCTTCCCTCGTCCTCCTCCAGAGGCCGCCTGCGTGGAGCCGCCCCCACCCACGCCGCGCCTGTGGCAGCGCCCAGGTGATCATCAACCGCACCACCTACTCAGCAGGCCAACTGCTCGCAGCAAGGAGGGAGGCAGGGGTAGAAGGACAACAAACTGCATAAACATCAACTTCCGGAGGTCCGTGCGGGTTCTTCGGATCCGCGCTGGAGCCCCCTCACTGGCGCGCGGAGCGCGCCAGGAGCGGCTCCAGAGGCGCCGCCACGGGGAGCCCAACGCCAATCCAAAAAATCAGCGCGGACCGTCGAACGTCGAAAGTTTATGTCGATGCCGTTCTTACGTCTTCGAAGAGGGAGCAGGAAGGAAGTGAGCATGAGTGCGCGCAGCTGGCGCATGCGCGAATTGTGCCACGCATCTACCTGAGCTTTCGGCGGCTTCTTGCGCCGTGCCGCTTCCGAGGAGGGAGAGGACTGGGCCTCAGGCGCGTCTGAGCGCCCCCGCAGCCAGCGCAAGAAAAAGGACCTGGGCTTTCCGAACCCTCTGAGAAGGCCCGCCCCGTCTCACTTCCTAAGGGACGAGGATGAGCAGGAGGGAAGCAGAGAGGAAGGATGATGAGGAGCCAGGAAGTGAGGAAGGGAGGAGGGGGGGAGTAAGCGAGGGACGGGCGAGGAGCAAGAGGAGGACGGGTGCCAGTTGGAACTTGGGATCGCATCTCGCGAGGGTATGCTGCCCAAGCTCCAGCTGAAATGTCGCGTCATGCTCAGTTTGGCCGGTGGTGCTTCCGCTGAGTTGCTCGGACACCCACATTGGGGACATGCGGTTTCATCCGGTACTCAAGCCGACGAGGAGGACCACGTCATAACACGAACGACCTGGTTGCAGAAGAAAGCGCGGGATATCGAGAGGCGGCCAGATATTCTGTGTCCGCGCTGGGCGATTCCAGAGCACGGCTGGGCAGTGGATGCGTCGCGCGTTGCTCTGTTTCGTTGGTGGCGTTTCCGTGGAGATGTCCGGACACCAACGTTGAGGGCATGCGTTTTCATCTGGTGCTCGAACTGACGAGGAGGCACACCTCAGAACACGAACGTACTGGTTGTGGAGGAAGGCACGGGATAATGGGACATCGAGCGACCTTTGCATATTCTATATTTGCGCGGGGGTGGTCTCGTTCTGGACACGAGTTGAATAGCGTGGGGGGGGGATGGGGACGCTCCGTCGGAAGGTTAGTCATCCCCCCTCCGATTATTACCCTATCCCGAGTTTGCGTCGAGCGACTCCAGAGCACGGCTGGACCGTGGACTTGTCACGTGGTGCCCAGTTTCGCTGGTGGTGCTTCCGTGGAGTTCGAGGAGGAGGAGGAGGAAGACGAGGAGGAGGAAGAAGAAGAAGAGGAGGACGAGGAGGAGGATGAGGAGGAGGACGAGGAGGAGGACGAGTAGGAGGAGGAGGAGGAGGAGGAGGAGGAGGAGGAGGAGGAGGGGGGGAGCCTGAGGTGGAGGAGGAGGAGGAGGAGGAGGAGCAGGAGGACACCGGGGTGGAGGAGAACGGTGAGGGGAGGAGGAGGGAGGAGGAGAAGGAGGCGGAGGAGGAGGCAGGAAGAGGAGGAGACGGAGGAGGAGGACGACGACGAGGAGGAGGCGGATGATGATGAGGAGGAGGAGGAGGAGGAGGAGGTGGAGGAGGAGGGGAGGAGGGAGGAAAAAGGGGATAGGAGGAGGAGGAGGAGGAGGAGGAGGAGGAGGGGAGGTGGGAGGAGGAGAAGGAGGCGGAGGAGGAGGAGGAGGAGGAGGGGGAGAGTAGGAGGGGGAGGAGGAGGAGGAGGACGAGGAGGAGGACGAGGAATAGGAGGAGGAGGGACGATGATGATGATGATGATGATGATGATGATGATGATGATGATGATGATGATGATGATGATGATGATGATGATGATGCTGCTGCTGCTGCTGATGATGATGATGATGATGATGATGATGATGATGATGATGATGATGATGATGATGAGGATGAGGATGAGGATGAGGATGAGGATAAGGATGAGGATGAGGATGAGGATGAGGATGAGGAGGAGGAGGAGGAGGAGGAGGAGGAGGAGGACGAGGAGGAGGACGAGGACGAGGAGGATGACGAGGAGGAGGAGGAGGAGGAGGAGGACGAGGAGGAGTAGGAGGTGGAGGAGGATCCTTCCGCCCCTCTTCCTGGCTGGGGCCGCCGCCGCCGCGCCCAGGCGAGGCGGAGCTGAAACTGCTCCAGGCACTGCAGTCCAGCGAGGCCTTGCTGCAGCTACTGGAGGCCCCTCTCTTCTCGCCCCAGTGGGGGGGCGCCGATATCGGGTTCAACAAATGTGGGAAAGGCTGGCAGTACATGCGACGTGAAGGGCAGGAGGGTTGGCGAACAAAGAGGCGGGCTGCTCCCTCTTCCTCCCTAAGCACTGGCCCTCTAGAAACATCCGCTGAATTTGCGTGCCCCCAGGGGCGCTCCAGGGTCGTGGGCTCGCAGCTGAGATATCCAGGGGAGGCTACCTGTATTACTTGGTCGTGTTAGACTTCCCGCCGAAACCGTCCAGGGGTAATTTGGTGAAGAGTTACCCCGCGTGCTGCTCTCAGCTTCGACGTGGGCTGCGCAGTGTCTGCCTGGGTTTCCAGCGCGTGTGTGCCCGGGTGGGGTGGGGGGGCCGGGGGAAGGGGGGGGGGGAGGGTTCCAGCGGGGGGGGATTTTCGGAGGGGGGGGGGGACAGAGTCCGGAGGAAGAGGGGGGGGGGAATTTTCCACAGTAAAGCGGCGGTGGATCACGCTCTCTCTCTCTCTCACTTTTTTTTTTTTTTCTCTCTCTCTCTCTCTCATATATATATATATATAAATGTATATGAATCGAGAGTGGCGGTGGCAGGGACTGCGACGCACGTCGCAATCTCGCCTGCCCCCCGACCGCGCCCTCGACGCGGATGGTCCCATCGTGCCAACGAAGAACGCAGGCTGCAGTTCGAGGCGCGGGCGCGGCGGATCAGAGCGGAAAAAGGCTTGCTTCTGAGAGCGGCCAGGCTTTTGTTCCCCTTCCGCCCCTTCCGCGCCCGCTCGTTCCAGCCCGCGCGAAGTCGCAGGCTTCGGGCGCCCGCCTCTCTCCGGCCCCCGCCCAGAGCCAGCGCCCGGCGCAGCTGGCCCAGCGCGGCGTTGCCCAGGGCATCCGCGCCGCGGGGAAGGATGGGCGGGCGGGGATATCGCCCGTCGCAGCATGGCCACGGCTGAAGCTGATCAACGTGTGCGTCGTCCCAGAAGGGACGGCGCGCGCTGGCCACACCCACGCCGAAGGCACGAAGTCGCTCTGTGCATTCGGGCCGCGGCGTCGTGGACCGCGCCGCGGTCTACGACGCCGCGGCCCGCGCCGCTTCCCGCGGCTCCGGACCCCCCTGGCGGCGCCTCTGGCGTCGACCTCAGCGCGCTCCGCGCGGCGATGGGCAGGGAGTCCATCGCCGATCCAAGAAATCCGCGCGGAGCTCTGAGAAATTATGTTTATGGCGTTTTTTGGTTCCTCTTTTGTCGTCGGCTGCCCCATCCTCTTCGCCGCCGGGTTTGGCAGAACGTCCGGCAGAGGCTGACGGTGAACACCATGCCATTGGTCATGACAATGTTGTGCACCGTATTTTGCGTCCACCGCCAGTCAACGCACCAACGGCCTCGGCGCCCTTCACGGCCCCGATGCCGAGAGCTTCATGGATGGCTCGGCGGGTGCGCGCCGTTCCCAAGAACCCCGCCCGCCCTTCGGAAACCCTCTCCCAAGAAGCACGCCCGCGCATCCGAAGCCCATGCGCCAGGCGCAACTCTGAGAGGAATGGCTGAGGAGGGGGTGGAGGAGAACTAACATACATATTTTTGACACACAGTAAGAGGAGGAGAGGAGGATGAGGAGGAGGGAGGGCGGAAGGAAGAGGAGGGAGGGAGGGAGGGGAAGGACAGGCTAGGTGCGCTCGCGCCATATCTGACATCCTACCCCTCCCGCTCATCCCTTCCCAATTCGCTATTTGTTGTCTCTGTCCGTCGACTGCTGTCATAGCAGACCTGGAACCCGCAAAACGTCCCCTATCGTGTTATGCGCAGTCTGAATTGTGGAGCTGTGAATATTGGATGAGGAGGAGGTGGCGGATGAGCAGGAGGAAGAAGATGAGGATGAGGAAGAAGGATGCCAAGGAGGGACAGCAGCAGGAGCAGGAGGAGCGGGAGGAGCACGAGGACCAGGGGAAGGCGGGAAAGGGGAAAAGCAGGTGGTGGCAACGGCGATGAAGCATTCGGCTCCAGAAATGTGGCCCACGCTGGGCCAGGCCAAGAGCGCCAGTCTGAACGACGGGAGCAAAGCGCCGAACCTGAAAGGAGGCAGCGCTGCAGCGGGATCACCATTTTGAAGTAGCGAAAACAATCGAATCGTACGATCCCCTAAGACATACAAACGTTCGAAGACCTGTGTGTAAAACAGCATGCGCGGAGACCGAACGCAGTTAGGGGAGAGGAGAGTAGCATTCTGAGTGAGTGATTGTGCAGGAGGAAACGGAGGTGGAATGGGAGAGGGATGGGAGAGGATGAGGGAGGTGGGACGCATGGACGGGCGGGGAGTCTTTTTTTGGGGGGTAAGAGGACGCTTTCGAATGTTTGTATGGGATTCAGAAGGTCTTCGATCTGTATTCGAGGCATGATGACGGGGAGGGAACTGGAGGCGGCGGAGACGATGGGGATGCGGCGACGAAGACGACGAAGTCGACGACAACGATTGCGACGGCTGCGACGACGATGGCGACGACCACGACTGCGAAGGCACGGCCCGCAGGACGTCCCAGCCCTGGCTGAGCGGCGGTGACGACGATGACGACGCGGCGACGAAGACGAAGAAGGCAACGGCAACAATGTGTGCCTTCAGTGGGCTCATCGGCAAGGATGGCGACGATGGCGACGAAGACGAAAACGGCATCGTCAACGACTGTTGCTTTCAGTGGGCTCATCGGCGAGGACGGCGACGAAGACGAAGAAGGCATCGCCTGTTGCCTTCAGCGGGCTCAGCGGCGACGATGGCGACGATGCCGACGAAGACGAAGAAGGTATCGGCAACAACTGTTGCCTTCAATGGGCTCATTTGCGAGGATGGCGACACGATAGCGACGAAGGCGGAGACGAAGGAGGCAACGGCAACGGATGCGACGGCTGCGATGACGATGAGGGCGACGACCACGCCTGCAAGAGGGTAGAGTCTGCAGGACATTTACGACCCTTGCTGGCATCCAGGAGGCCCCCAGGCTGGAGGTCGCGCGCCGAGGGGTCGGGCAGTGCCAAGGGGTGTCGCCATCAGGGGGCAGAGGGAGAAAAGGTTCCCATACTGCCACCCATCGCCCGTTTTCCCATTTTTGGGCCTCCTGGGATCTCCTGGGAGGTCCTCGTCGCCACTGCTGGATTCGCCTCGAAATCCTGGTCAGAACGCACCCCGAGAGAGGTCCGGAGAGTAGCAGTATCAGCGCTTTTCGGTTTCCCCATGGGGGGCCGCCAGCTTCTCCCGAGGTTCGAGGATCAGCCGAGATTCTCGGACGATGTTGGGCGCTCTGGGAGGTTCTGGGGGGCTCCGGGGGTCCCGAGGGTGGTCTTCCTGGAGGAGGTGGCGACCCCCCAGGGGGATACGCTCCGAGGGGATGCATCGAACCTCAATCGCCCATTCATCGCTGATGGGGGCCCGCACAGGAACGTGCGGCTGCGCTAATTATCAAGGGCATCTTGCCGACCTATATATGCGATGTAGCGCCGAGTCTAGCGCGATGCTTCCCTTGTGACGCTGCCCATCGCTCAGCGAGGGGCAACGTCCCGCGGGGTCGGGTCCTGGGGGTGCTGGGTCCTGGGTGATCCAGGCCTCACTGGGCCCTGCTGGGCCCCGCTGGGCCCCACCAGGCCAGGACCTTCGGGGCCGGTTCGACTCCACTGACTGGTTTGGTTCCGACCGGATCGGTAGGGCTCGGAGCCGTAATTGGCTGGCCAAACCCGGAGCTTCCGGATTCGGCTGGCTCGGTTGCAGAAGCCGCCGGTTCATGATTACCAGTTCGGCTCAGAGCCACCATGTTCGCTGGTGGTGAACCCCCGTTGCATTGCCTGGAAGGCGGGGCGGCGCAGGCATAGGACGAGGGCTTAAGTCGCTCCAGAGCCAGAGCGTCCCAGAACGCTCTCGGCGCGTTCCGAAACGCTCGGAGAGGGCCGCCCGCGGCGCCCGATACTCGATACATCCTCCAGACCCGCCAGCTCTCAGAGACTCCCGCTTGGTCCCCATCCAGATTGTCCTCGTCCTGCCTCCGTCCTAGGCCGGGGGCGACGATGGAGGGGGTGGGCATAGGGGGGATGCATCGACCTCCCATCGCCCATTGATCGCAGGTAGAGGCCAGATAGCCCCAACCCGCACGTGCGGTCTCGCTCTCGGGGGCCTTTCGCCGATCTATCGGCGATGCCAGCTCGATGTCTTCCCCCCCTGCGCCAGTCCCCCCCCATCGGTGCCCCTCATCCGGGGGGAGGGGGGGAGGGGGGGCGCCGCGGCCATGCACGGCGACCTGCTCCCCGAGGCGCCCCGCGGCGACGGCAGGGCGTCCCCCCGCCGCGGCGTGGGCAGGAGCGCGGGGCCCCTGGCCAAGCGGGAACACTCCGACGGGTATCTGGCCAGGGGCAGGCCCCCCTTCGGCCACGCGCAGATGGGGGGGGGGAGGGGGCAAGGCTTCGCAGAAGCACCCTGCCTCTCAGAAGGCGTTAGGGCCTTCTCTATAGATGAATCAGGGCCGGCGCCTTCTAAGAAGCAGGATGCTTCTACGAAGCCTTCCCACGGGTCCCAGGCCCCCCTCGCGTCGTCGTCGTCGTCGTCGTCGTCGTCGTCGTCGTCGTCGTCGTCGGAGGAGGGAGGAGGAGGAGGAGGAGGAGGAGGAGGAGGAGGAGGAGGAGGAGGAGGAGGAGGAGGAGGAGGAGAAGGCCGCGCTCCCGATCGAAGGCCGCCCAGTGCTCGACACACTGCTCGGCACGCCGTCCCCGACCCCGCGCCGCGCGCCCCGCCTGCTCCCGACCGAAGTTGCCACGAGGGAGCGGCCCAGACCCCTCGCGTCGCGCGTAAGCTGCCCGCGTAAGGCCGCGCGCAAGCGCATGTAAGCGCCCTCGTCTCCGATGTGGCGTGCCGCGCTGGCGGCCCGCGTGAGCCACCGCGTAAGTTCGCTACAGTCGTCTCACGTAAGGCCCGTTCGCTTCCGTCGCTCAGACCTGGGGGCCGGCCGCACCGCCGGATTTGGCGGCCACGAGGAGGGCCATTATTCTCCGCAATCCGCTCCCTAATCCTGAAAGTTTGTTCTTCTTTCTCTTGTGATTAGCTGTCCGCGTGCCGCGCAGCCTCCGCGGTATCCTTGGAAGCGAATTTGGGCGGTTGCTTCTTCCACTCTCGCGCCGCGGTCCACGAGCACGCGTCCCCGTCGTCGACGTCGCCAAGTGGTTCGAGCAGCTGGCTGACGAGTTCGAAACTCCCGAGCTTCCGCTACTGACGCACTTCGAAAAGATTTGGGCGGGGGAGAAGCACGCCGGGGCCACGACGCGCAAGGCGCCTACGTTCCCAGTTGACCCGTGGAACTTCCACGACCAGGCGCTGGCGAAAGAGTTTCTCACCACGAACGCCGTGGAGTTGTTCCACCGGCACCGTGCGGCGCAGTTCCACAAGGGCGCGCACCCTTCGTTCCCGACGTTCATTGAGAGCCTGCGCAAGCAGCAGAGGCTCACGAATTGGGACATCACCGATGTCATAATGGGCGGCGAGAAGAAGGAGCGCGACGCGACCAGGATTCGCAACGACAGGCACTTAAATTCGGTCGACAAGTTTTTGCGCGACGGCGATGGCATGGCCCTCCTCGCAAACATGGTTAAGCTGCGCAGTGGGGACGACTGACGCGGCCCGCTCCGGCCCCAGCGGGGGCGGCACTGGGGCTGCATCCTTCGCGCGCCCTCCAAGCCCTCCCGGATCCACAATGGACCGGGCGTTTTTTTTTTTTGTTTCCTGACCTCGCCCGCCGACGACGCATTCAGCGCCCGCCGCTGTACCTAACCGCCCTGCCGCGGCGCGCGGTCGTTCATGGCCGCGCAGGGGGCGGCGCCTCTTCGTCGCGCTCCGTTTTCTTCTCTGGACTACCGCAGAGACACTGGCGTCTGCGCGTTCCATGGCCTCCCACGTAAACGGTCCCCGCTGCCAGCTGCGTGGTGCCGCCCGCCCACTTCGTCGTAATATGCCCCTTTCGCCTTGAAGCATTTATGCGTTTGGGGGGTGTGATGTGGCTCGGCCAGCACAGGTGTCACCGCGGGGGCGCGTGCTCTAGCGGGTGATATGTCCCCATAAGCAAGAGGGGCAGTGGCCAGATGCGTGGCGCCCCCAACCACTTAGTCGCTACATGTCCGTTAATTTGGAGCCACTTTTGTATCCTAGGGGTCAGATGTGGCTCGGACAGCATACGTGTCACCGCAGGGACGCCTGCGTCAGCGGGCGTTATGCCCCCCATAAGCGAGAGGGGGCAGCGGCCAGCTGCGTGGCGCCCCCCAACCACTTAGTCGTTGTATGCCCCCTAACCTTGAAACATTGCTGTGTTCTGGGGGTCTGATGCGCCTCGACCAGCACTGGCGTCACCGCGCGCACGCCAGCGCCAGCGGGTGCTATGCCTACTATAAGTCAGAGGGGCCCGCGGCCATGTGCGCGGCGCCCCTCAACCACTTAGTCGTTATATGTCCCCTAACCTTGAAACATTTCTGTGTTCAGGGGGTCTGATGTGGCTCGACCAGCACTGGTGTCACCGCAGGGGCGCTTGCGCAAGCGGGTACTATCCCCCCATTACGAAGAGGGGCCAGTGGCCAGCTCGGGGACGCCGTCCCTGCACTTCGCCGTTGCATGTCCCCGTCTCCTTCACGTGCTGCTCCTGCTCCTCCTCGCGTTCCCGCTCCTCCGGTTCCTGCCTCTCCTGTTGCGGCTCTTGCTGCTGCTGCTGCTCTTCCTGTTGCTGTTGCCCCTCCTGCTGCTGCGCCCGCCCTTCCTGCTGCAGCTCCTCCCCCTGTTCCTCCTCGTGCGAGTCCCTGCTGCTCCTCCTCTTTCTCACCTTTTTCAGGGACCGGCGAAGGGTCCCGGCGCACGGCGAACAGGGGCCCAGCGCACGGGCACCGGCGAAGGGGAACCGGCGAAGGGGAACCAGCGAACAGGACTTCCGGCGAACGGGAATCAGCGAACAGGACGGGCGAACGGGACCCGGCGAACAGGAACCAGCGAACAGGAACCAGCGAACAGGATCCGGCGAACAGGGTTCTTGGCGAAGAGGACCCCGGCGAACGGGGACCCGGCGAACAGGGATTCCGGCGAGCAGGAATTGGCGAACAGGAACCGGCGAACAGGACTTCCGGCGAACAGGGTCTGTATCCGTTTGCATGACTTTTCGTCGGAATGACCTTTGGTGCAGGTGCAGTGGGGTCTTCTCAGATGGCAGATTGTGATGCGATAGCAGCGGCGCGCTCCAGTTTGGCCTCCCCGCGGCCCCCGAAAGTCGCGCGCCAGAGATCACCCGTGCCTAAGGCCACTCTTGCGTGTAGCCGCGAAATGCACGCGCAAAACCGCCCCGCACGGTGCACGACTCGGCGTCGGAGACCAGCGCCAGCACCGCCGTTGCGTGAGCCGGTCGTGGGCCCAGCCCGCCGAGGCGCGAAGGTGGCTGCGCCTCGCGCTCCCGCTGCTGCTCGAGGGAGGAAACGCACTGGCCATGACCAAGGCGTCGCGGGATTTTGTCGATGCCGATCTTGCTCATGGTTCAGGTCGGCCGTTGCTAGCTCGCCAGGATGGCCCGCGAGATCCCGCGAGTTGACGTTGACAGTGATCGACGTTGACCAAGACGGACACGACGTTTCCGCGTTCAGTCTTGGTCATGGTCCCCTTTGTCTCCCCCCCCAGCTGCCCCTGCTTCCCCTGCTGCTCGCCCTGCTCGGGCGGCCGGGGCCCCGGGGCGTTCGAAGAGCCGGACGTGGCGCATCGCGGCCGCGGCCCTGCGCGGGGCGGCGGCGCGAGAGCCCGAGCAGGGCGAACGGGGGCACGGGGGCCAGGGGTTCGTAGAGGGGGGGTTGTCCCAAGGTGGGGTTAGGGTTAAGTCGGGCGTGTCCCTCTACAGGGAGGATATGCAAACATAGATTTTTGTTTTAAAGTCTGGGGACTATTTTTGAGCATTTTCGAAGATGTTTTGAGCATGTTGGGGGTATTTTTCATTTTTCCTCCAAAATCCCCCTGTAGGGGGCCAGGCCCGACTCAAGGTTAGGGAACGCGCCCAGTTGGATGCGCACATTTCGTTTTGCCAGACGCTTTCTGGAGGCATTCTCCTCCCAACCCCACCTCTGCCCGAACCCCACCTTTACGTTTCGCCGAGGGGAGCGCCGACTTCCACGTTTGGCTGTGCCCGTGTTCATCAGAGGAGGAAAAGGCACCCGTACCGCTACCTTGCCTCATTTTCCCATTTTTGGGCCTCTTGGAAGGCCCTCGTCGCCGCCGCTGGATTCGCCTCGAAATCCTGGTCAGCTGTCAGAAGGCACCATGGAAGAGGTCCGGGGAGTAGCGGTATCGGTACCTTTTGGCTTCCCCACGGGGAGCGCCGAGTCCACGAGGGTGCTTTTCGCGGTCTGGGCGATTTCAGGGCGAGGCGCGAGGCGCTCGCCTTGTTCGGGGGTAGCGCCACGAAAGCGCGAAGATAATCGCGCTTCGCCGAGCGCGAAGCGCAAAGGTAGTTGCCGTAGGCCGTGGAGCTCCGATTTCTACTTTTGGCTATGCCCCTGTTCAGGGGGACGCGGGCTCCGGATACCTTTCCCTGGGCAGCGATTGAAGAAGCATTTTCTAGATGTCATGACGAGTGTTTGCTGCACTTCATCTTGTATGATTTAAAGATGCCCTGGCCACTACCATTCAATTGCATGAGGGTTTTGCTGCCGTAGTGTCCCACGCCCTCCGGCTCCGCTTGCATAGCGAGGCGCCTCCATAAGCCCCCATCGACCGGACTTGACTTGACTTTAGGCTCCGTAGAAGGGGCATGGAAAACGCGGTCGCATGGAAAAGCCTACGCCCCCTGCCAAGCTGTGCCCCCGTTGAGAGGGGACCTTGAACCTGACGATGGAGGCGCACTGCGCGGCTGGGAGCGGGGCGTTTTAGCGTGCCCAGGCTAGAGTCTGCGACTCAATCGATGAGGCGGTGCGTCCACGTACGAGGCGTCGATCGATTTGACCGCCGATCGGGTTGCCCCGGGTCCGCGATTCAATCGATGCGGTGAGGCATCGATCGATTCGACCACCGCTCGCGTGCCCCCCGATCAAGGCTCGCCTCCCTTGGATGGGGTTCGATTCGTCGGCGGCGAGCCCGGGGGGAAGTGAGAAGTGGCGGGCCTTCTCAGAAGATTCGGAAGGCCCCTTGTCTTTTGAGAATGTTTCTGAGCTTTCCCCGAAGACACAGAAAATTTCTCAGAAGGCCAGAGGGCTCCTGCGAAGCCCCGCCGCATGCTGAGAGGGCCTCCTCCTTTGCACTTCCCCCCTCTCTCGCCGCCGAGTTCGACCGGCTCGATCGTGCGCGCGGTTCGGTGAACCTGCAGCGCCAGAGCACTCGGGCGGCCACGAGGAGCGAGAGCGGCGGCCGCAGCCCCGCGAGGGAGGAGTTCCGCGTCCGGGACGCGGCCGCGCTCCCGCCTCGCCCCGCGGCTGCTCTGCTCGGCCGTCGCCTCTGCCCCGCCTTCTCCGCCTGCCTCCCGAGGCGTGCTGGTTCGGGGGGGGGGGGGGGGAGGAGGAGGAGGGAGGAGGAGGAGGAGGAGGAGGAGGAGGAGGAGGAGGAGGAGGAGGAGGAGGAGGAGGAGGAGGAGGAGGAGGAGGAGGAGGAGGAAGAATCGAGACGCGGGTTCGTTCTAGTTCTCGGCCTCTCGGGGCCCTCCCTGGGCCTCGGTACCGTCAAAAAACGGCCCGGGATGAAAAACTGGTCCCCCGGGGGGAAGTGGTCGAGGGGTCAGGAGCCCGTGTGTCGAAACCATTGCGACGGCCGATGTCTGCTGGGTCATCACCCACATTATCTTGCAGCCACTCTCCCTCCTCCATCCTACATGCCTGCTTCTTCCTCCTCCCCCTCCCCCTTCTCCTAGTCATCTCTTTTTGGTCACTCCCTCGCTCTCGTCGTCCTCTTGTTCTCCTGCGCCGCCTGGTCCTCGTTCTCCTACAGCACCCACCTTCCTGCTGCTTCTGCTCCTCATTCCTCCTCCTGCCCCGCCTCCTCCTCCTCTGCCTCCTCCTCTTCCTCCTCCTCCTCCTCCTCCTCCTCCTCCTCCTCCTGCTCCTGCTCCTCCTCCTCCTCCTCCTCCTCCTCCTCCTCCTCCTCCTCCTCTTCCTCTTCCTCACTTCGTAGCAACTGTGGCTCCTGTTCCTTAACTTCCTGACCTCTCGAAGCGCCTGGTGGCCAGGCACCAAGGGCGGGCGCGACCGCGCCCCCTGGGCTTCGGCGGCCGTTCTCTTCGGTCCTGCTTCCCTCTCCCTTCTCGCCATGGAAGCGATGCGCCAGGGCAGGCCGTAGCCTGGCAGGATTCCTGCTCCGACTTCCCCTGCTGAGAGTTGGGGTAGCGGGGGCCGCTCCGATAGCCCACGGTCCCCAGGTTCAAGCACGACAGACACCAAGCTCATTCATCTTCTCTCGTGCAGCGTTGTCGGAGTAGAACGGAGATCAACCATCCAGATTTCGGGCATCCAGGGCCATATGTTGCAAGCGAAGAAGAAGTTCCAGAGCTTACAGGCAGCACATGCAGATCTCGCAAAGCAGACGATGGACAATGTCACAAATATTCGTTCTATCCAGGAGCAGGCCCTTCTCCAGGCCATTCAGGGTCGTAAGATTGCCGAGAGTGAGGCGAGGAAAGGGGGTTATAGGGGGTCATTGCCACGATGAAGGAGCTGCCAGCAGCGTTGTAGGGGATGCTCATAGTCGAGGCACAGCAGCCCCTATTGGCAGCTCAGTAACTCCTGATGATGGTGACCAATGCGCTCGTCATGTTCGTCGCCAGGTCGACTTAGGATACGCTGGCATCCCGACTCGTCTTGTGGTCCTGGGATTCCGACGCCTGCCTCTCGAGGCATGTTTCCGCCAGGCTGCCAACCCGATCGTGAACGAATGTGTTTTGTCCAGTGTCATCCCCTGAATCCAGACTAAGGCTCTCAACTGCAGTAAGAAGTTGTTGATCGACTGCCCGAACATTAGGGTGGCCTCCATGTTTCACACGAAATGTATGTCTGAGGGACCGTTTGCTTTTATTTGTGTTGAGGGTGGGATGGGCCTTGAGTTCCACGTCCGCCGTAACCTCCCGCAGACGTCTCGCAAGTTGTTTTATTACCTCGGGAACACGAGGCAGGCAGTGGCACATGTCTTCGGTCAGAAACGTGTTGGATCTACGGTGTTTGGGGTAATGTCTTATGTGACTAAGTTAGTATTGTTCCAGTGGTGAAGACTTCTATTGTGGGTAACGGCCCAGGCTGTCAGCGTGAACGCAGTGGTGGACACAGTAGGCTTGGCCGAGATCGAGGCGGAGGCACATGCGCCATGCGTGCAGGTCCGTTTTCTCGGAGATCCGTCCCGTTACGCGAGTGCAACAGCAGTCAGAAGAGGGCTCGACGGGAGTAGTTTGAGTAGTTCTCAGGCTCCAGCATCTGCGAGTTCCACTGGGCCCCCGTCTCCTGGGAGCACTACTCTTTGTAATTCAATTGGCGCAGCGTCACTTTGTTCCTCCTCTGGCTGGGAGCGCTGGTGAGGCAAATCGTCCTTCTACTCCTCTCGCGCTCTGCGCGTGGAACACCCGCGATCTCTTTGCATCCATCTCACCCTTTTTCTCCCAGAGCGAGTCAAGATTCCAGCAGGCAAAGAGTTTGCTTGAACGGTATCATGCTGGATGTTTACAGGACGTATGGCGGTGGTGATATCCGTGGCCAATCCACGATTGAAGTTCCACCGGCCTCCGGACCCTGGGTTCCTTATCCGATGGAGCTTTGGTGCTACGTGTGCGTCGCCCCTTTGGGGGCGACGCGCGCGCGCGGAGAAATCTTTCAGCATGCGCGCCCTGGCGGGCGCTTTCTGGCCGCGCCGCTCGGGAATCGGTCTACTACAAGATGTTTTTCCCAACCATCCTGTGGTGTTGGGTCTTCGTTTTGAAGAGACGGTGCCCCGCGTCTCCTTCCTCCTCTCCTCCTCCGCCTCCTCTCCCCTTCTATCATCCTCATCGTCATCATCATCATCATCATCATCGTCATCATCATCATTATCATCATCATCATCATCGTCATCAGCATCAACATCATGGCCGCCATCATAACCATCATCGTCATCATCACCATCATCGTCGTCATCACCATCATCGTTGTCATCGTCGCCATCATCGCACGTTTCGTGGCCCCATACGGAGCTCCACCGAAGGTCCCAGTGGGTGTGCCCGCATGCGTCCCGCACGCCCATTTTGGCACACCCCTCACACGTTTCGTGGCCCCATAGGGAGCCCCATTTACGGTCCAAGTGGCGCAGCTCGCATGGCGCCACCGCCCCATTTTGGCACACCCTTCACACGTTTCGTGGCCCCTCAGGGAGCTCCACCTGAGGTCTAAGTGGCGCAGCTCGCATGGCGCCACCGCCCCATTTTGGCACACCCCTCACAAATTTCGTGGCCCCTCAGGGAGCTCCTTTTGGCACACCCCTCACACGCTTCATGGCCCCATAGGGAGCTCCACCTAAGGTCCACGTGGCGCAGCTCGCATGGCGCCACCGTCCCTTTTTGGCACACCCCTCACACGTTTCGTGGCCCCATAGGGAGCTCCATTCACGGTCCAAGTGGCGCAGCTCGCATGGCGCCACCGCCCCATTTTGGCACACCCCTCACAGATTTCGTGGCCCCTCAGGGAGCTCCACCTGAGGTCCAAGTGGCGCAGCTCGCATGGCGCCACCGCCCCTTTTTGGCACACCCCTCACACGTTTAGTGGCCCCTCAGGGAGCTGCACCTAAGGTCCCAGTGGTGCAGTTCGCATGGCACCCCTTCACACGTTTCGTGGCTCCACAGGGAGCTCCATCTCAGGTCCAACTGGCGCACCCCACATGGCGCCGCAGACCCACTTGGGCACACCCCTCACACGTTTCGTGGTCCCATAGGGAGGGAGGAGGAGGAGGAGGAGGAGGAGGAGGAGGAGGAGGAGGGCGAGGAGGAGGACGAGGAGGAGGAAGAGGAGGAGGAGGAGGAGGAGGAGCAGGAGGAGGAGGAAGAAGGACCGCCCTGGCCGCTGTCGCCGCCGCCGACGCCGCCGTCGCCGCCGTCGGCGCCGCCGTCGGCGTCATGCTCGCGGCCCCACAGGCGAACGGGAGACAGGGCCCCTCCCCCTCCTCCTCCTTTCCCTCCTCCTCGCTTCCTTCTCTTTGTTGCCCGCGCGCATCATCATTGTCCATGCTTGTTGAGTCCACTTAGCTGTGAAGCCATCCATTGCAAAGAATCCGAACCATCGCGGCGTGTGGCCTGGACCCGACCGGTGTCTAGGATTCTTCAGCGACGGGTGTCTCATGGCCTCTCCAACCGTACGAACGGATTCATAAAGCCATGGACATAGATGTTCGTCGTCGTCGTCGTGGTCGTCGTCGTCGGTGTCGTCGTAGTCGTCGTCGTCGTCGTCGTTGTCGCCGTCGTCGCCGCCGTTGTCGTCGTCGTCGTCATCGACGTCGTCGTCGTGCTGCGTCGTCGTCGACGTCGTCGTCGTGCCGCTGTCGACGCCGACGCCGCCGCCGCCGCCGTCGTCGTGAATACGAGCGCGTTCTGATGGGTTGTGTTTCACGTAGCGCGCTTGCTTTCATGGGCGCCACTAACGCCGATTTTTCAATTTCGCGTCCTGCCAGGTAGATGGGGTTCGCCGTGCGTGCGTGGAGAGTATTCGAATGCGTAGAAGGACAAGACCATCGCGTTTTTTTTTTTTTTTGAAATTTCCCAACCATCCTGCGGTGTCGGGTCCTCGTTTTGAAGAGACGGTCCCCGCGTTCCTCCTCCACTGCTCCTCTTCCCCCTCCTTCATCCCCCTCCTCCCTGCGTTTCACCCGCCCAGCGCAGCGTTTCGTGGCCCCATAGGGAGCTCCACCGAAGGCCCCGGCGCTGCCGCCCGCGTGCGTCAGCCACACCCAATTCGGCACACCTCTCACACGTTTCGTGGCCCCGTAGGGGGCTCCAGCGAAGGCCCCAGTGCTGCCGCCCGCATGCGTCAGCCACACCCAGTTCGGCACACCCCTCACACGTTTCGTGGCCCCATAGGGAGCTCCACCGAAGGCCCCAGTGCTGCCGCCCGCACGCGTCAGCCACGCCCAATTCTGCACACCCCTCACACGCTTCGTAGCCCCATAGGAAGCTCCACCGAAGGCCCCAGCGCTGCCGCCCGCATGCGTCAGCCACACCCAATTCGGCACACCCCTCACACGCTTCGTGGCCCCGTAGGGAGCTCCACCGAAGGCCGCAGCGCTGCCGCCCGCATGCGTCAGCCACACCCAATTCGGCACACCCCTCACACGCTTCGTGGCCCCATAAGGAACTCCACCGAAGGCCCCAGTGTTGCCGCCCGCATGCGTCAGCCACACCCCGTTCGGCACACCCCTCACACGTTTCGTGGCCCCATAGGGAGCTCCACCGAAGGCCCCAGTGCTGCCGCCCGCATGCGTCAGCCACACCCAATTCGCACACCCCTCACACGTTTCGTGGCCCCATAGGGAGCTCCACCGAAGGCCCCAGTGCTGCCGCCCGCATGCGTCAGCCACACCCAATTCGGCACACCCCTCACACGTTTCGTGGCCCCATAGGGAGCTCCACCGAAGGCCCCAGTGCTGCCGCCCGCATGCGTCAGCCACACCCAATTCTGCACACCCCTCACACGTTTCGTGGCCCCATAGGGAGCTCCACCGAAGGCCCCAGTGCTGCCGCCCGCATGCGTCAGCCACACCCAATTCGGCACACCCCTCACACGTTTCGTGGCCCCATAGGGAGCTC